CTCCACTACAACCCACCACCTCACCACCACCACACACACTACTCGCAACCACCCACACCGTCACCACACTCATTCACACATCACCACCACTACGCCACCCACCCCATCTGCACCCACGTGCCACCACCACGCCACTGTCCAACCCACCTACCCGCCACCACCACCACCTGCCACCACCCCGCACCGCCACCCACCTGCCACCACACCCACTGCGCTACACCGCTACCACCACTCGCTACCACCCGTCACCGTCACCCACCCACCCACCACCCCACCACCTACCGTCACCACTTTCACCCGCCGTCTTCCGCCGCCACTTGCCACCACTGCCATTTTCATCTTTTTTTTTTTATATTTTTTAATTTTTTAAACATTTGTCAATTACAAACGGTTTGTAGTTTACTGTTTTTCTAAAATAAACAAAAACCAGTTTATAAATTTTTTGTAAATATAAACTAAAAACGTAAACGTTACCAAACACACCCTAAGGCCGTTTGTTTCAGAGATGATGGAGGGTTGATAGTGAGGGGATTAATTAGTGATGGGAGTTGTTAGTGAGGGTCGTGTTGTTTTCAGAATATAAGGAGGGGATTGATAGTGAGGGGATATAATAGGGGATTGTTATGAGGGATTAGTAGTGAGGGGATGAATAGTGAGGGATTAGTGTGAGGAATTTTGTTAAATTTTTTTATATAAAATAATAAAACAATAAACAAAATTAAAAAATAAAAATTATATTTTTAAAAAATTTCCAATATATATAAAAATAAAAAATAAAAAAATTTCTAATCCTCATATTTTTCTTAATACCACTTAACTCCTCACTATGAATCCCTCCCAGGGTATTAGTAATACCAAGGTATTGTAGTCTCCACTCGTTCAAAACAAATATAAGTATTAGTAATACCAAAGTATTAGTAGTCCAGTATATAGTTCCAAGCTATCTCTCAAAACAAACACCCCATATACTAATCAAGTACTAGTAATCCTAATCCCCTGCTATACCAACCACAACGGGGCCTAGACTCTGTTCTGGTAAACCTCTTCAATTATAGTTTCACCCATTGATTTGAGTGTGTTGTTTGTTTTGAGCTTTCAAATCATAATTCTACACTCATTTTCAAAATTCAATTCAAAACATAATCATTACTTTTCAAAACTCATAACCAAACACAAATTCAAAACTTTTTTCAAAACTCAATTCAATCATATTTAATTTTTTAAATTATTTTAAATATATATATCAATAATTAATTTTGTAAGTTTTTATATATTTTAATATTTAAATATGTTACGATTTTTTTAATTTTTTAATTTTTTGAATATTTTTAAATATTTTAATTTCAAAATATTACGATTTTAATTTTTTAAATTTTAAAATATTTTATAAAAATAAATTCGAACTCTATTTTATAAATTTTTTTTAAATATTTAATTTTTTTTTGTTATGTATTTTGTTACGATTTGAGTGTAGAGTTGTGAAAGTAGTATGAAATTTTGAGTTATGTGTTTGGTTATGAGTTTTAAAAATAATTTTTGAATTAAGTTTTGTCTTATGTGTTTGATTACGATTTGAGTGTAGAATTGTTTTGAAATTTAAAATATTTACATTTAAAATTATTTAAATTTTTACGATTTAAATTTTTTGAACATTTATTTTAATTTTTTACTTATTAATTTTTTTAGATTATTTAAATTATTTAAATATTTATGATTTAAATTTTTTGAATATTTATTTTGAAAAAAAATTATTGCCTTTGTAGTATTTTCAATTAAAAAATTGATTAATGTTATTTTTTGTTAATAATAAATTTTTTTAATTGAATTTTAAAAAGAGTTTGGTTATGAGTGTTGATTAGAATTTTCAATAGTGTGAAAGTAGTGTATTTTGTTATGAGTTATAACAATTTGAATTATGAAAACTCTTTCCAAAACTCATAACCAAACAAATTTTTTTACTTCACATGTCAAATCAAACTTTCAAAACTCAATTCAAAACTCAATTCAGCACTCTATTCAAAAACCATAACAAAACAAATTTTCTACACTCAAATCATAATTCCACAACTCACAAACTCAAAATATAACTCATATTCTCAAATCATATTTACAAAACTCTACCAAACGCAACCTAAATTCCTTATTTCATTTTCCTAATCTGATTAGGCTTAGTTTGTTTTAGGCTCCACCAATAACAATCTCCCACTTGGAGACTAATCAAGACACAAATAGTCTTCACCCATAACTTTATAGAACACCGCAATGACTCAAACGATCAACCTCATGTGGCAACGTATAGACACCCCATTTTGACCAGGCTTAAGACTTGGACACTTTTTTCTGAATACTCGATGATGAAAATTGGAATGTACTATATTACAAATTTCTCAATAGAAAAGTTAGAGTCGAGCTTTAATTCTAATCTGATACCTGTTTAGGCCAAATTGTTTTAGACCCGTACGAAAACGTATTGTGTCCACCTGTCTTTTTTTTTTTAAATAATTTTTCTAGCCGAAAATCCATCAAATATCAGCTTCCACTTCATTGTTGAGAGGACCTTTTCTTTTCAAAAGTGGCATTGTTGAGAGGATATTTGATGTTGAAAAGTGGAGACATTAATTTTTTTTTTCAAAAAGTAGAGACATTAATTTTGTTTTTCAAAGAAAAAGAGGAAACAAAAACATTGGAAGAGTATCTTTGATTTTTCTTTGAAGAAAATGGGAGACAAAAACATTGGAAGAGGATCTTCATTTTTCCTATAAATTCTTTTCATTCTCTTGAAGAGGATTTTGGTTAGTTTTTGAGAAGAGTTTTTTTTTTTTAACAGAAAATAGGGAATTTTCTTGAGAAAGAACATATGTTGTATTTTTTTTTTTTTTAAAAAAAAAATTGCATTGAAACAAAACAGTTTGAGAGAAGAGATACCATCAAAACTCCATTGAAGCTAAGACTTGAAGTTTTTCTTTGAGAATTCAAAGCATACTCTGGAACCTTGAGGGTGATCAGAATGGAGTTTGAAAATTAAAAATTTCATCATTTCCTCGAAAGGTGAATTTTCATAAACATTCATTTAATTAAAAAAATGTGATATAATTTGTTTAAACACTTCCTTTACTGCTTTTCATAACTGTTTTTATCACTTTAAAGGGAAGGTTGCGCTACCCACATATCTGTTGTAATTTACTTCTTCTTCTTTTTTAATAATTGTTTTACCCCTTTAAAGGGAAAGCTGCATCACGTACATATTTGTTGTAATTTAGTGCTTTACATAAACTGTTGTAATTTACCACTTTAAATAGTCGGTTGAAACCACCTAAGTAGTTAAAGATATGACCTCGTCGGATGGATAGTAACTGGTCAATGAATAATGACCGACAGATGAATAGTACTCCCACCAAATGAGTTTTTTTTTCCAGTGAAATAGAGCAGTCTCCTAACAACAAACAAAACAATTTTTGATGGGTGAATAGTACCAACAGAGGTATTTTTTTTTTTAATGATTTGTTAGATTCAGCTTATGTTGTAATAATTTCTCAACCACCAATCTTTTAATCAGTTTTGTAATTATTAAATGTTGTAATAATTCTCAACCCCAGCTTCTTTCTATCTCCTTCTCTGCATGTCTTTCAATCCCATTTCTTTCTATCTCTTTCATTTACTCGCTTTCTATATATGTAAATAGTATCATATTTTCTATTTCATTATATCCACGCTCTACATCTATATTTCATGCATCTAGATTCGGCTTATTTGTATTTGTGAATTTAATCAATTATTATGTGACTATGTGCACTACCTCATACTTTTGAGATAATTCACATGTCATATATTAGTAGCCAAATCTCTAGTTGCATCTTGTGTATGTATTGCATTAGGATTTTATATATAAGATCATGCATATTTTTCTAACTTTTGTTTCATAGCTGTTCAGGGGACACCAGTAAATATGTAAGTTTTTATACTTTAGCATCTCATTTGTGTGTGTCTTCCTTATTATGTCAAGCATTCTATCATGTGGCTACTTGCTTATGTGATATACCTCAATGAATGCCACTGGATGGAGGATGTGTTGTTCAATTTGGGATAATATCGATTTTCATGTTTGTGAACTCATTTTTTGTTGAGCTGTACATTATTCAAAACTCATTCAAAGTACATGAAATCAGATTGTTCCAAAATAAATGACATACTCTATACTTGTTTGTTTCATATAGTAAATCTTATAATTTATTTAATAATCAAAGTATGAACATATAAAATTAATATCATGGAATAATAGAGGCCGATCTTTTGATCTGGTTGAGCGAGTATTAGGTCCTGATTTTCAAAGATTATTCAGGCGGAAAATAATTAACCTACACATAAGGTTTTAAAAGAAATTCCATACTAATTCAATTAATTATCAAAAATCCTTTTTCGTTAAACATTTTCTTTACTCTTCACAAGTCAATACCAGAATTACCATTGATAAATTAAAAATATATATATTAAACCCACTCTCCATGTATTACATTGAATATAATATATTTTTTTATAAATAAAATTCTCCAAAGACTTACAATAAATACGAGGGCATTGCCCTTTACAAAGTATAGTACTCAGCCAAAGAAATAAATAAAATACACTACATCTCATCATCACTTTATAACTATGCCATTGTAAACTTGTTATTTGATCCTCAAGTCGAAAGACATTTCCTATACACATGTACAGGTAGGGGTGAGCAAACCACTAACTCACCAAACAATCTCATATTATAACATTAAAATATATGCGGATACAAAGATGCCTATACATATACGTTAAATCATATCATGTCAAAACCTTATGATTTTATTACATAATCTCTTAAATCCAGTTTATTTAATTAACACCACCTAATTAACTTAAATAAATAAACATGCTCCAAATATCAACAAAACATCATTTTTAACCTATTCAGTTAACCCATCCCTGTTAAGTTAAATAGTTGAACAATTCATAATGACATCCAACAAAGCATCAAATACATTTCATTTTAACGACCCATACTAGTTAACTTAAATGACCCCACCAATTACAATGACTATTAGCAAGGCCTCTATTCCAATCTTTTTATTTAATTAACTCATGTTGGTTAATTTAAATAAATCCACAATTAACAGGCTATCAACAAGTATACTCATCTCTCATTAATTTAAATAGATCCACAGTTATCAAGCTTAGCGACTGCCAATAGGAAAATATGTCCAAGTTATTTAATTAACAAACACTTGTTAATTTAAATAATTTCAAATACTCACTTTAATCATCTACCATAACACCATCACCTACTATCACATAATATAATGAGATCTAGCTTCGTTAAGTCACAGCCACCACAACACTTTTTTCTGAGCGCGAGCAGGAAAGGAGTAGAACCTATCCCAAAGCACCACATTTTATCGGACCTCAAGTTGGAAAGGAGAAAAACCTCAACTCACTTTATTGGGCACAACCTGAGGGGAGCGGAACCTCTATCAACGCGCAACGCTTTACCAGGTGTTGAACGGAAGGAGACAGACCCTATTTAAAGCACTCACATCAATCCATCACAATATACATAACATATCCATTTCATTTCCAATGTAAAAACAACTACATTACATGTAGGGTTTTTGTTCAACCCAAATCCATATCATTCTATCACCAACAATGCAACCCTCTACCGGTTACCAATGACAAAACCTCTAAGCAATAGGTTCATCAATATCAATAACATACAGCACAAAAGAGGATTCATGATTTGATCAATTTAATCATTTCTAATTCATATACTTTATCAATGTAATGTAATTACATTCTTTCCAAAACTCATCACCAACCGAAACATTCAATAGAATTAAATGTCCATTTTTCTCATGCAAGTAAAGTATCTGGATCTTCAAGTTAAATCATATTTCTCAGTAAGTATAAGTAAATATTTCCAATACTTAATCGATTATATCAAAATCTTCTTTTGGCTATAATTATAAAATATAACACAACTGTTCACTTTTGAATTATTAGCATTTACTTCATTAAATTAATAAAATAAATAAATTTAATAACTCAATTTATGTTCTAATTCAAACATTCATTTGCTCCAAATGAGTTAAAATCACATTGTTTTCTTTTCTTGTCAAAAACAGCCAAAACAATTCAAATATCTCATATATGAATTTGAGGTATAAAATTATTATAATAACACAGCTCAACTAGTAAACCTAGTGACCAAATACCAAATCACATCAAATTAACTAATAATCTTAGTTCAACTTTGTTTCACACTATACCACTTGATCTCACTTATTTTCTCCAAATCTCATACTGTGTCAACTTTATCATTTTTAATCCCATTGTGGGGATATATTTTCTGAGTACCAACACGTGGCCAAGGTGACGCCGACGTTTCAGCCGAGGTGCCACATGTCCTGATTGTTATGCCGAAGTCATCTCGGATAGGCCGAGGTTACCTCCGAAGATATCGGAATCCGAGATAAGCGGATGAAGGGCAAGAGTCCCAAAATGAGAGAAGACTTCAGTTTGTATTAAGATAAGACTCTTAGAGAGTTTAACCTAATCTTGCCGGGAGTCCAAGATTAGCAGTAATCCTGAGTCCATAGAAGTTAGGCTTCTATTGGGACTAGGTTTATGTTGGCTATAAAAGACAGGCACCCCCATGAGTCTAAGGTATGCTTTTGATACTCAAGCTTGTGAGTTTTCCAACTTAACCACTTAAACATTTGTTCATCAACATTAATTTAGTTTTCTCCAAAAATAAATTCTGAAAATCAAAGATTATACAATATTTCAACATTACTTTTCTCAAATAAACTATCTAATCATAATATGATATAGATACAAACCATATAACTCCTATCATGCCATTCTTCTCAACATAACCCCATCATAAATTTTAAAGCAATAATATTGAGATAATCATTACCTCAAATAATGAAGAGGAGCAAATCCGAAAGGCAAACGCCACCGGATCACAAATCTGAGACTATCATGGCGAAGAGTACGACGAGTTCTCCGACTTCCATTTACAAAACTTTTGTAAAATCTTACTCTAGAGACTCCCACTCTAAGCTCAAAGTTTGAGCAACTATGGAGGAATAGAGAAAGAGAGAGACGAACAGAGAGGGGAGGGGAGATCCTCTGCCAAAGCAAGCAAAAATAAAACGAAATGGGACCAAAAAAAAAGATGGGACAAGGAAAAAGGGGGCAGCCCCACGTGGGTTGTCTTTTCAAGGATTGATTTCTAAAATAATACAATATAATTTTTGTAATAATATATCAAAATTTTGTAAAATAAATTATAAAATGATATAATTTTATCTCCCCACAAAAATTTAATATTTTTGTACATCACAAAATATAATATTTCGTTTACTACAAAAATATATCCCTTTTTATTCACTATAAAAATATAATTTTTTTCACTATATGGTACATACCATAAATTCACTTTTCAAACATTTATTACAATCCTATATAATAAATAATAGCAACTTTCAAGGTGGTCCCTACCATTTAAATAATTAAAAAGGACCAAACAATTAAATATGAATTATACACAAACATCAAATTAAATTAATTCTAATAAGTCATGAGTCTTAAACTAAATTCACACCCATAAACCAAACATGACCCAATTATATACCAAAATAGACCCAACAAACTTTATCTGAAATCATGTCCAACTATCCAAAACTCATTATCAAATTATGCTATAAACTAAACTGAACATCAATCAGTCCGCGAATTTTCATAAAATAAATACTCATCGTTTAATTCTGAAAATTTTTGGGGTGAATTACACTAACAGTCCTTATAGTTTGGAGCTCATGTCACTTTGATCTCTGACTTTTCAATTGTGAGATAATTGACCCTAAATTTTGAATCTTCTTTCAAATATGGACAATTGAAGATACTATTGCTTAATTTCAAGAGCAAAATCGTCAATTTGAAAAAATTTAAACTAATTTGACAAAAATAAATGTCAAAAAAATATTTTTAAATTTTTAAAAATTAATTCTATCCACCAAAGATAAAATTATGTAATGTTGATAAATCTTTTAGATATTTATTTATTTATTTATTTTTATCAAATTAATTTTTATTATGTGTTTGGATGATAATAATGTAATGAGTGGTTGTTAGGAGTTTAATGCGTAATCGGTATATTTAATATATGAAATACTTTTAGTTTTGGATTTTTTTGATTTAATGAATTGGTTTAATAATGATATCAAAGTTGTCACCATATTTGACTTTTGAAAAAATAGAAACTAATTTAATGAAAATAAAAATAACCACCCATTACATGATCATCATCCAAACACATAATAAAAATTTATTTGGTATAAATAAATAAATATCTAAAAGATTTATCAATTTTATATAATTTTATCTTTAGTGGATAGAAATAATTTTTAAAAATTCAAAATGTTTTATTGACATTTATTTTTAAATTAATTTATAATTTATCAAATTGATCATTTTGCCCTTGAAATTATGCAATGGTATCTTCAATTGTCCTTATTTGAAAGAAGATTCAAAATTAAAAATTAAATGTGTCACAATTAAAAAGTCGGGGACCAAAGTGACATAACCCCCAAACTATAGGGATCGTTAGTGTAATTCGCCCATTTTTTTATCCAACATGCTAGACTCATATGGAAACAACATATAAATTTTTTTATATTTTTCTGAGATAGGGAACTAAAATATATATGTACAAAATATAAAATCAGATCATTGTCACATAGAAGTTTACACAGAAGCCCATTCCAAATATTGCTCAATTAATTTATGCACTAACTCTCTTCTTCTTTTTTTTTTTTTTTTTTTAAAAAATTTTTTTGTTAAAAAAAAAAAAATCGGAGTCATTACAACCTACCCTCCTTAAAAAAATTTCGTCATTGAAATTAAACTTAAGTAATATATTGCATTTTACAGTCATTCACAAACTCACTCAGGTACTTACCAAAGCATCAACAAAATTTTTGACTACTACATAAGTCTCAACAAGTCACACTGGTAACAAACCAAACCATCACATTCGCACACCAATTGGTTGTTAAAAAAAAAAAAAAAAAGTTACTAGTATAAACCATTAAGTGATTCTTCTATCCACATCGATAACCTAAAGCAACAAAAGAGGATCTAATCTCTTAAGTATAACATAAATTTTTGGCAAAACGACCCCTTAGAACACCGAGACACCATATCTTATTGGTGATGACCCCACCTTCAACCAACTATTTCCATCGCCTAATGCACATTGCTTCCTAAAGCCAAAACAACTATTACAACTCAGAGACCTTAACAAAACGAAACAACACCTCCTCAAAAGCAGTAACCACCAACTGAAATAGTGATCGTCAACCGTCACAAGACAAATAATACTTTACCAACACTAGGGGGATGTCACACCCTACAATTCAAACAAAATAAAATCAATTTGGACAACGACCTAGGATTTCCATGAATAAGGACTACAAATCAACATTAACGGTTCCACTCTGATGTAGAGTTTACAACATGGTCTCAACAATATACCTTAAGTCTAAGCAAGACTCAACACGACTAGGTAAACACCAAAACTATACATAGCCCTCAAGTTAAAAGCTAATTCAACTCAACTTCTAAGACATTTACTCTGAGTTACAATACAAACTCTACACTAGTATTATGGTGACTCACAAGGTCCACCCTGAATGCAACCATGACTCGACTAACACAAACTCACGGGATACTTAAAACAAAAGTTCCATTCCCCTGGCCAACCAACAAGAGATCTTACTTCTCTTTTAGGACGTATCACGTATTAAGCACAAAAAAACACCCTCCAAGGTTTAGTAAACAAAACCATAATTCATTCCAACTCACCAATTGCAAGAAAAAGAGAACCTAGTTCTCGAAGCTACCCAAATTACACACGAGGCCAAAACAATCTAAAATCTAGATTACACCACCAAATTATCACACTCGTAGAGCCATTCCATGACTCCATTTGGAAACAAATAGTCTAACCAACCGGACACAAGATGTCTCCAAAGGAAAATACAACCATGATTCAAAACACAACTCATTTCCTTAAAATAACTTCCTCAACAAGTGTAGGACACTCCCCCAGCCACCTAGGGGCGAAAAGTTAAGAATAACAATAATTACGAATATTGCTCATTTAAATTCTATCTTTAAAACCTTACATAGTTTGCACTTTACAGATTTTGCAACCAAATCTCAAAACAATCTATCTCTCTTGGGAAATACATCCCCTACTATCATCCACAATCTTTAGCATGGCAAGGTCGCGCCTCTTTCCAAAATACATACAAAGGTATACAACCCAAAGTCCAACACTATCCCCACACAGGATTACTTAACGGGTCAAACGACTTTACTATCATGAAAAATAATAATTCCAAATAAATAGAAAATCTCACCGAGACACACATCACATCAATAGTTAACATGCGCACATTACACTACATAAAACAGCATATCCACATAACAGATAATGGGTTGTTCCTATGAAGATTGTTAGTCGTTCTAGAAAACGTTTTAGACCACCAATTAGAAATCACATTGATTAGGCACATTTCCAATAAGATTTCTAAGAAAATTTCTAGACCCAACACCACATCCTCGAGACACAACCCCATGCCCACATAAACATATAACATCTTCCTACATAAACATGTTGTCACATAGAAACGACGCTCACAATTTTAAGGTAAAACCTAACTGTGCTCAAAACCACTTCCCACGAGCCAAGGTATTCAAACTCGGTTAGCTTTGATACCAAGTTGTAACGCCCCAACTTTTCAAAGATTAATTAGGTGGAAACTAATTAACCTAAGCGTGAAGTTTTTGAAAGAAATCTCATCCATTCCATTACTTATCAAAAATTCTTTTTTCGTTAAACATCTTCTTTACTCTTCACAAGTGTGGGTGTTGATTTCCGACCACACAACCAAAAGGGGAACTTAGCCGAAGAGCACCTACAGAACAAAATGAGCCAACTACCTGCCAACAAGAATATGAGAATTCCGCAATGGTTTGTCCACCCGGAGGCACTCCGATGATCAAGTCCGTAAAACTTTTATTCCTCACAGATAGGAAATAGTACTTAAACTCGCCAAAAAGAACTTACCTTAGACCCATGAGAGTGTCTTGCCTTTATGACTAGCAGTGACTTGATCCCTTAGAAGCCTCACTTCATTGGACTCAGGCTTAATGCTAATCCTGGACTCTCAGCTAGATAGGGATGTACTCTTCATGAGCCTTATCCTTATCCAGACTGAGATCCTCTCCTATTCTTGGACTCTTGTCCCTTATCCAAATACCTCGGGATTCCAGCATTACCGCAAAACATCTTGGTAATGCCGTGATCACCTCGGCGACATGACTCATCCACGCAGCATCTTAGTCGATATCTTGGGCTATCTTGGCTACGTGGCATCATTCGCAAAATACTCTCTCACAACTGCCCCCTAGGTTCTATTACCTGGGCAACCTGAGGTGATGGAACCTACATTGTCTATGTTAGCACAAAAACACAGATACTACTCCAACTGAAATGATGACTCATTGGTTTCAAGTAACCAAGATTAAGTTGCCCACTTTATCATGAATCAAGAACCAAGTTCTTTTAATCACTTTCAAGCGAGATTATTCCTCTAGCCGAGGTTATTGCCTCATTTATTTCAAGAATTTCAAGAACCACAATTGCGCATGAATTGTCACGCACAGTCTATTCAACCGTTTCCTCTACATGTCCCAATCTCATTGGCTCGTACTTGATACACGCTATCAAATCGTTTCATTTCTGACCACATTTCCTGACAGGCACGTCGTCCAAGGTACTTCATTACAATTTGCCACTTTTTTTTTTATTTTTGACAAAACTCCTTCCCTTCTCTTTCAATTTTTTCTTTTTTTGCAATTACAATTTCTCTTTTCGTCTCAGTCTCTCTAAAATTTCTCTCTCAAACCATCATTTTCAAGCCCTTCGAAGCTCTGCAACTGTGCTCTATTCACCAACTCTGTTAAAGCATTCACTGTTTTGTTCCATTCATTGTCACTGCTTGACTCCGGCGAACTTGATCTCGACGTCCACTCCTTCGGCTTCATTCTATAAGTCTTCGACTTCTTTCTTCTCGACTTTTGTG